GATCGTGTCCAGAAGATGGTGATCAAGATGTTGAAAGGCCTTGAGAGGAAGAGTAGGTGCTGAAGTTACTTGGCTTGTTCACCTTGGAGAAGAGAAGGCTGACAGGTGACCTCATTGTGATCTACAGTTTCCTCAAACAATGCAACTGAGGTGAAGGTGCTGATCTCCTCTCTCTGGTGACCAGTGATAATGATGCCTAAAATGGAAGAAAAATTCTCCAAACAATATTAGTTAGTATAGATAAGATAGAGAGCAGTTCTTTAATGAAGGTGTTCAGGTGCATGCAATACATATGTGTGCATGAGTATCCAGGAGTCCTACAATTTTATACTACTAATCCATCCAATACGAGAATTATCCGATCTCTGATCCTCCCCAGATCTGCTCCCTTGCAGAACTGCCATTATGATTTAAAGGCTATGATGGACACATTACTTGACAAAACAGAGAAAGAGACAGCTCAGTGAGCTGCTTGAGTGTAGCTTGAAGCTGGAATAGCAGCAGGAAACCTTCAAGGGACAATCAGTGATAATTTTCCTTTACGAGATCCAAGATGGGATCCCAGTGTAGCAGAACAGATAGAGAGGTTGAGACCCCATCAGAACTGGGTGGTGTATGGTATAAGACATGTTATTCTGAAAGCAATAAATTGGTCAAAATTATACAAGGTAAAGCAAGACAAAGATGAATCTCAGACACACTTCTTGAATAGGCCAGAAGAGAATTTTTCTTCCATTTTAGGCATCAAGACCCAAGGAATGATATGAAGTTGTGTCAAGGGAAGTCCAGACTGGTCATTAGGGAAAGGTTCTTCACTGAGAGATTGGTCAATTGCTTGAACAGGCTCCCCAGGGAAATGGCTACAGCATCAAGCCTGTCAGAGTTTGAGGAGTATCTGGATGACACTTCTAGTGATATGGTTTATTTTTAAATAGTCCTGCAAGGACCAGAGTATTGAACATGGTAATTCTTATGTGTCCCTTCTGACTCAAGATATTCCATGACAAAGTTGGGGACTCAAATGCCTCTATGCAAACTCTCACAGTATGGGGAATAAACAAGAGGAATTAGGAAAGTGTGTAAACTTGAAGGGCTATGATCTTATTGGCATCACGGAGATTTGGTGAGATGGCTCCTATGACTAAAGTGTTGGAATGGAAGGACACAGGCTCTTTAGGAAGGACAGGCAGGGGAGATGAGGAAGGGTTGTTACCCTCTATGTCAGTGACCAGCTGGAGTGCATGGAGCTCTGCCTGGAGATGAATGAGGAGCTGACTGAGAGTTTATGGGTCAAGATTAAAGGGACAGCAGGGACAGGTGGCATTATAGTGGGGGTCTGCTCCAGGTCACCTGACCAGGAAGTCTGAGTGGCTGAGGCCCTCTATAGATAGGTAGGAGTAGCCTCACATTCACAAGCCCTGGTCCTCATGGAGGAATTTCTCTACCTCAATATCTGTTGTATGGATAAGACAGCAGGGCACAGGCAATCCAGGAAGTTCCTGGAATGCATTGATGATAAATTCCTTCTACAAGTGGTAGAGAAGACAACAAGGAGAGGTGCTGTGCTGGGCTTTGCTCTCACCAGCAAGAAGATGCTGGTGGGGAACATGAAGATCAAGGCAGACTTGACTGCAGTGATCATAAAAACATTTCAGACCCTTAGGAAAGGGAAGAGGACACAGACCAAGATCGCTACTTTGGACTTCAGGAGAGCAGACTTTGGTCTCTTCAGAGATGCCTGGTAGAGTGCCATAAAGCCCTGGAGGCAATAGGCGTCCAAGAAAGCTGGTTGGTATTCAAGGATTACTTCCTCCAAATTTAGGAGCAACGCATCCCAACAAAAAGGAAGTCAGGCAAGAATGCTGGGGCCTGTATGGATGAATAAGGAGCTCCTGGACAAACTCAAACACCAAAAGGAAGCCTACAGAGGGTGGAAAAAAGGACAGGTAGACTGACAGGAACACAGAGAAATTGTCTGAGCAGCCAGGGATCAAGTTAGGAAGCTAAAGCCCAGATTTGGTCAACAGCAACAACAAAAGCTTCTATAGGTAATGTTGGTCATAAAATTAAGTCTAGAGAATATGTGGGCTCTCTCCGGAAGGAAATGGGAGACCTGGTTACCAAGGACATGGAGAAGGCTGAGGTACTCAATGACTTTTTTACCTCAGTCTTCACTGGCAAGTGCTCCAGCCACACCACCTGAATTGCAGTAGGTAAAGGCAGGGACTGGGAGAATGAAGAACAATCCACTGTAGGAGAAGATCACGTTCAAGACCATCTAAGGAACCTGAAGGTACAGAAGTTCATGCAACCTAATGAGATGCATCCACGGTCCTGAGGGAAATGGGGTAGGATATGTCTAAGTCACTATCCATCATATTTGAGAAGTTGTGGCAGTCTGGTGAAGTTCCCACTGACTGGAAAAGGAGAAATGTAATCCTCATTTTTAAAAAGGGGAAAAAAGAAGTTCTGGGGAACTACATACAGACAGTCAGTCTCACCTTAGTGCCTTTTAAGATCGGGGAGCAGATCCTCTTGGAAACTACGGTAAAGCACATGGAAAATAAGGATGTGATTGGCAACAGCCAATATGGCTTCACAATGGGGCTGGAGTGCTGGTGGATGAGGGAAAAGTGACTGATATCATCTTCCTGCAAAGCATTTGACACAGTCTCACATGACATCCTTGTCTGGAGACATGAGACTGGAGAGACGTGGATGTGACAGATGGACCACTCGGTGAATAAGCAGCTGGCTGGATGGTTGCACTCAAAGAGCTCAATGTCCAAGTGGAGGTACATGATAAGTAATTTTCCTCAGGGGTTGGTGTTGGGAATGGTGCTGCTTAATATCTTTGTCAGTGACATGGACAGTGGGACTGAGTGCACCCTCAGCAAGTTTTCTCATGACACCCAGCTGCGTGGTGTGGTTGAAATATTGGACGGAAGGGATGCCATCCAGAGGATCCTGGAGAGGCTTGAGAGATGGGCCTGTGTGAACCTCGCGAAGTTCAACAAGGACAAGTGCAAGATCCTCCACGTGGGTTGGGGCAATGTCAAGCACAAAATCAGGTTGGATAGAGAATGGATTGAGAGCAGAGCTGAAGAGAAAGACTTGAGGATATTGGTTGACGAGAAGCTCAACATGACTTGACAATGTCTACTTGCAGCTCAGAAAGCCTGTGTCCTGGGCTGCATCAAAAGGTATGGTCTTTTGAGGTGATTCTCCCCCTCTACTCTGCTCTTGTGAGGACTGATGAGTCCAGCTCTGGGGCCTCCAACATAAGAAGGACTGGGACCTTTCAGAGCAAGTCCAGAGGAAGACCATAAAGATGATCAGAGGTCTGGAGCCTCTCTCCTATGAGGATAGGCTGAGACAGCTGGGGTTCTTCAGCCCAGAGAAGAGAAGGCTCAAGGGAGACCTTAGAGCCTCTTCCAGAACCTAAAAGGACTCTACAAGAGAGCTGAAGCGGGACTTTGTAGAAGGCCATGTAGTGATAGGACAAGGAGGAATGGCTTTAAATTGATAGAGGGTAACTTTAAATTAGATATAATTGATAAATTCTTTACTGTGAGGGTGGTGACACACTCAGGTTGCCTAGAGAAGCTGTGGATGCCCCATCCTTGTATTCAAGGCCAGGTTGGATAGGGGTTTGAACAATCTGGTGAAGTTGATAAGTGTCCCTGCCCATGGCAAGAGGTTTGAATAGAATTATCTTTAAGGTCTCTTCCAACCCAAACCATGGTATTATTCTATGATTCTACCTCATGAAGATAGCTGTATTACAGATCATGTTCTATTTAGAGACACAAATTGTTTAGGTTTACAGACAGCCATGAGAAACCACAGAATCATAGAATTGTTAAGGTTGGAAAGGCCTTTAAGAACACCAATTCCAATTGTCAGCTCAGCACCACCACTATGTTTACCCTTAAAGCGTATCCTCAAGTGCCATATCCACATATTTTTTTTCATGATATCTAATGTAAACCTACTCTGGCATAGCTTCAGGCCATTTCCTCTCATCCTGTCACTTGCTACCCAGGAGAAGAGATTGATTCCCACCTCACTACAACATCCTTTCAGGTAGTTATAGAGAGCAATAAGGTCTCCTGTCAGCCTCCTTTTCTCCAGCCTAAATAATCCCAGCTCCCTCAGCCATTCCTCATAGGACTTGTGCTCCTGACCCTTCACCAGCTTTGTTGCCCCTCTCTGGACACCCTCCAGCACTTCAATGTCTTTCTTGTAGCAAGGGGCCCAGAACTGAACATAGAATTCAAAGTGCAGCCTCCTGAGTGCACCTGGAAAATCACTGCTCTAGTCCTTCTGGCCACACTATTTCTGATATAAGCCAGGATGCACCAGCCTTCTTGGCCACCTGGGCACACTGCTGGCTCATGTTCAGCCAGCTATCAATCAGCACCCCCAAGTTCTTTTTCACCACCAGTGATCAGCTGCCAGCTGGATGTAACTCCATTCACCACCACTGTCTGGGCCAGGCCATCCAGCCAGCTTTTACCTGGTAAAGAGTACACCTGTCCATGTCATGATAAGACAGTTTCTCTAGGAGAATGCTATGGGAAATAATGTCTAAGGCTTTACTAATATCTAGACAATAATATCATCTGCTAAGCAGGTCATTTTGTCACAGGTTGGTCAAGTAAGACCTGCCTTTCATAAATCCATGTTGGCTGGACCTTACCCCCTGGCTGTCCTGTACTTGTTGCATGATGGCATTAGAGATGATCTTCATGACCTTCCCTGGCACCGATGTCAGGCTGACAGGCCTGTAGTTCCCCAGATCCTTCTTCTAATGTCAAAATAAAACCATAAAACCCCCACTCTTCTAAATAGGCCCTGCTCTTTCTCCTACTTCTGTTGTTAATTAGTAACACTACTATGATAAATTTGGAGGAAAAACCCCCTTACTATCTGTAATATTATTATATGAACATTAGTTTTCTTGTTTGTGTCTGTGATTTTGTCCATCTGCCTACAACTAAATCAAAATGGAACTATTTAAAGAAAGGACCAGACAGGAAAGCTAGGAAAGGAAACACCAGAGGTAGCTGAGATCATAGAATGGTTTGGATTGGAAGGGATCTGGAAGATAATCTACTTCTTTGTGTCTGTGGTTTAATTGATTTTGTCCATCTGCCTTGTGCCTCTCCCTCTGCCTATCTGCTATCCTAATCCCTCTTCTTGCTCCCATGCAGCAGCTCCATGCACAAGGACTCCCTTTATCTTATAACTCCTTCCCACTCACAGCCTACAAGCCCTTCTGAACTTGATTCTCACACACCTTCCCATTTTAGTCCACACGCATTCCTCAAAGTTTCTTCAGATTTACAAGGTTTTTGGCAGTGCCACAATGGGAGAGTTCCTGTACCAGACACAAACCTCTGACAGAAGTCTCAACAGAATTTCTTATCCCCAGAGATTAGGACTGTTCTGCACTCGGACAGAAGTGGCAGACTCAGAAGCTGGAAGCCTAACACAAAAAGAGAAGAAACCCTGTATTTTCCCAACTCCTAAGATCAAAGCATGAGTTTTGCTAAATGCATTTTCAGAGACAAATATGCCAGCAAGCACTTTTCTTGTTTTTCATAAATACCTCAAATACAGCAACTAAAATTTTCTATGAAAATCATGTTTACTCCAACAATGTCTGAACAGCAGCAATTTCAGGCATGATCTCTCCTGCAGTCTGTGTAGTCGAGTATGTTGAGAAAGTGTCTAACCCACACTTGACCCAACCACAAGAGATGCTAGAGGCCTCTAGTGAACTGAAAGCTGGAAGTGGTGATTTTGTTCTAAACCAGTGACTTCCAGGGTGTAGTGCATTATCTCTTGTTGTGCAGTAATAAATCCCAAGCAAGGTGCATGCACATCATAACAAATTTTATGGGGAAGGGTAGAGCTAAACAGTTTCTTGGAGAAGCTTGTTGTAAGCCAGCAAATTGTTTGTAGCTATGGCATTTTTCAAGCACTGCCAGAAGAAGGGCTGAGACTGAGGGTTAGTTGGCCATTCCAAGACAGAACTTCGGCACAGCCTCTTCCTCAGCCGGACATAGCGTGACTTCTGCAAAACCTTCTCAAGAAATATCAAGATAATGACATCCAGTTTTTCATCTAGAAGCCGCTGGTGGGCCATGTAAAAGGTTGTCCTGAAACTGCCGCTTTTAATATACTTATTGGTCAGCACAAATATGGTCTTTTTGCTCAGCTGAATGCTCTGGGAAAGGTTGTCAAAGACTGGCTGTCCCGGGAGCCAGTCCCTTCCTTCCAGGCATAAATTGAACTGCCTGGCTTTTCGGTCTTCCAGCCTTTTAACCAGTTCTTCCAACACCCAGTCATTCACAGCTGGATCTTCATTGTCATAGGCAATAAAAGCATCGTAACAGGCATCTGGTAAAGATAAACGCCGATAGCCCTTCAGCTTGGCACTGCAGTAATGGTAACTATACCACACATCCCAGAAGTACAGATGGCTCATCACCGCAAGCACCATAAAGCTGAGGACGGTTGAAGCTGATAGAGCGTACAGGATCAAATATGAGGTGTCCAGCTCACAGGTGTACAGATCCAAGAAAACCACGCTCCTTCCCTTATGTGCCCCTGGGCCAGCACAGGTCACGTCTGAGGCCAGAAGAGGAATAGTCACTTGAGTCTGATTGATCCACCAGACAAACCACACGGCCTCGCAGTTGCACTTGAAAGGGTTGCCATGCAAAAGCAGCATCTTCAGGTTGTTGATGACATTTTCAGGGAAGCTCGATTTCTTAATTATTTCAATCTTGTTTGAGCTGAGGTCCAAATACCTCAGTTTAAAAGCACCTCTGAGAAAATGTTTGGTTAGCTGCTGAATACGATTGTTTCGGAGCATCAGTTCTTGCAGTGATGAGGAGCAATTGGACAGTTCTCGGGGAACAGTGGTCAGAAGGTTATTGCTCAGGTCCAGAGTTACTAGTTTCTTCAGATAGTGGAGTTTTCCCCAGTTGAAACTCTTCAAACGATTATTGGTTAAGTTGAGGAGCTTGAGTTTGGGAGGCATTGCTTCAAAAATAGCGGGAGGCAAAAAACTGAGTGAGTTGAAGGAAATATCCAGTTCTTCCAAGCTGGTCAGATTCTTGAAGAAGGACAAGTATCTAGCATTGCCATCCATCCATAAAACATCTAAACGATTTCCTCTAAATTCTAAAATTTGAAGAGATTGACTTTCCATTCCTGTGTTAATGGTGGTAGAAATGTCATTCTCATTCATCATCAGCTTCCGCAAATGGTCTAGGTTTTTCACAAAATTAAGCACATGAGTAACACCTTCTGCCAGAAAATAATGTTGATTATTACTCAGGTCAAGAATTTCTAAAAATGTTAGCTCTTTGAAAGCAGTTTGGTATAGCAAATCAACCCTGTTGTTAGAAAAATCCAGATATTTCAATCCAGACAAGTAGGAGAATTCACTGCCATTTAAAGTTTGACTTATTGCATTATCTGACAAGTTGAGACATGTAAAGGAGCTAAGTCCCTGGAAGTCTGAGGGGTTAATAAAAAATACATTATTTCTGCTCAAATCCAGAGTTTTTCCATATTGCAGGCAATCTTCCTTAACTGAAGATTGGTAGGAAGCAGCCTCTTTATCTTTGGAACGGCAACTTCGCTCATACACATCATACCTGAAATAATGCATGTCTGGTAATGCTTGCCTGATGTACTGCTCTACTGAAAACCTAAGATTAGAGCAGAATCCATAAGAGTTGCTTTCCCCTGAAGAAGGAGAAATTTTATTCACTGAGAGGTCTATGAACTTAAGAGCTGGGAATTCTTCAAACACTGTCAGGTTTGCAACTTTAATAAAATTAGTCCCAAGATCCAAGACGGTGAGATTCCTAAGACCGAGCAGTGGGCGTAGATCCTTCTCTCTCAGTTCTTTAAAGACATAACCCTTGATCCTCAAGGTTTCCAGGTTAGAGAGGGAAGAAAATGTCTGAGACAGTTTCAAGAAGGGAGAATACAACTTGAGTTCAAAATTAAAGGACAGATCAAGCTCCACCAGGCTGGGGACAAACTTCAAAAACTGAGCATCTCCAATCTCCTTCATGAGGAAATTTTGGGAGAGGTCAAGTTCTTTCAGGTTCTTGATGTTTTTAAACCAACTGCTGGGTATGCTCTGAAGAGAGTTACTGTGAAGTCGCAAAATTCTTAAATTTTTCAAGGAATCAAAAGCCTTTGAATGTATCTGAATCGAGTCATTGGTGCAAGGAATACAAGGATATGGGGCATTATAGCAACGTGGGCAGTTGCCACTTAGATCGAGAATTTCTAGGTTGGGAAGGGCACTTAAATCCTGTTCTTGAATCACTTGAATCCTGTTATTATAAATATACAGTTCCTTCAAAGTAGATGACAAATTGGGTGGAATATGTGTTAAGTTGTTGGACTTCAGGGATAGTACTGTTAATTTTTTCAGCTCCAGAAAGGCTGTTTCCTCAATTTCATATGAAACATTGCATGGATTGCGGTAGTAACAGTTCTGCCCCAGATACAATACCTCTATGTTTCCTAGCTCTGACAAGTTGGCTTTTTGGATAGAAAAGATAGTATTTGCTTCCAGGCTCAGCAGGGTTAAAGTAGTAGGAAGACCTCGGGGTATTTCCAACAGCTGGTTTGCATCCAAGTACAGTGACTTCAGTCTTGTCAGGGCAGCAAAACTGCCATTCTCAATCTCCAGTCTTCTGTTGCAGACAAGGTCTTTGGGCCCCAGTCTGACAGGCACACAGTTGCATCTGAAGTCAATCTCCATGAGGTTTTTAAGTTGAGCAAAGGATGTTGGATAGATATGGGGAATATGGTTAATACTCAGAGTGAGGTTGGTAGCGTTTTCAGGGATCCCTCTGGGGACTTCTGTGAGGCGCCGGTAGGTGCAGTCCACTGTCACAGTACCTTCTGAGGATTTAACATCACAGGGCAAAGTTTTGGGAAACCAAGCTCCAGAGAGCAGCATTGGAAACAGGAAGAGCAAGACAAATAGCAATGCATTTGACATCTTTGCACAAGGTACCTAAAAACAAGGAAACACAGAGGTATTAGTTTAAGGTAATTAAACATTTCACCCACACACTGGGTCAGACCAAATAGGTCTACACTTGTAGATGTGCAGGTAGGATTATAAGTTTTGTTGGTATTTTGTTGGTATCCCTTACTTTATTATCACAATGTATTGCAGCATTAATATAAATATCACTCTCTAAATAAGGAATCAGTTAAAAAATCTACTGAAAAAGCGGCAACACACGTGATTGAAATTTACATCTCTGTGAATGTTCTTTTCTTCGAAGGGGAAACAGGAGGTGTTAAACTTCCAGCAGATTGCCATTGCATACTGGAGTAGATGAGCAAAGTTACTGTTTCATAGTGTATGATAGATAAAATCTATAGTCACTTAAAAGCTAGTGTAGTCTTTCAAACTTACTGAAGCATCAGCACAGGTGGAGAGTTGACCTAAGCCAGTCTATGGCTTTATTTCCATAAGGTTTAATACCATCTTGCATTTTCACTCTTCAATAAGGACAGGGGGCCGAGAAAACACTGCATCGATGTGAAGTGTGAAAATGAAAATCAAAGACAGGTTTAGAATTGGACATGTTCCATATAAGTCTAATAAGCATTAAATACCCAGAGCCAAAATCCCACAGGCATTTAAAGAAACTTTTAAAACATTCTCTGTGTCTGTCAAGTCTTTGTGATCTTGCCTACTTTATAGATTTATGTGTATTATGGAAAGAGCAAAAAGCTTTATGTCACAGCTTACCCATTACTTCCTCAGCAGTGGTCAGTGTCAAAGAAACCCCGGCTGGCAGGCTGCCAGCCTTGGCTTGTGTGACACAGGCAGAGAGGCCATGACCATTTTGCTGCACTGCCCAACATCTTAACTGCTGGCGTCAGGTGCTGTTCATTTCTCCCTTGAAAACTCAATGTAAGGCTTGGAGATGCACTACACATAGAGGGCTCTTAAACAAGCAGGATTTGTCTGGATAATATTGATTAAATGTTAAAACCCAGGTAAGCAGTAGAAAATTGGATGATTAGGTAAAATGTCCGAGATACAAGGAAATGGTTTTTTCTCTTTAGCTGGGGCACAAGAATATACAGAGACCTGCTCAAGCAGTCTGTGCAAACCCTGTTGAGTGCTGCCAAAGACATGCCTTGCAGGTGACACAGACTTGGAGGTGAAGCGAGGCTTCCTGTTGTACGCTCTGTTTACTTCGACCACAGTGTCTCCTAGACAACTTTGTGTTTCTGTGTTACCTTAGAGGACTATGCTAAACCTACCTCTGCATCCATGTACCTGGAAGAGTGCTCTAGTGACCTGCAGGGCAGCAGATGTGTGAGAAGACAGATCAAACCTCACACAGTGCTGCACTTCTGCTATCTAGAGTTCACAGCCTAATGGCGTCTCTTTGGGGATTCAGAGCCTCAGTACAGAAGAAAAAATGTAGAAGTCCACTGCAGATCTTGAATTCAGTGTAAGCTAATATAGTACTACACCCCAGCCTTTCCTCTACCACAATTTCCTTTCCCATTCACTGCCAGTGCAACGGTGTCGCCTTCCTTTCAGCGGATCCTCTAAGAAAAGGCAAAGTAGCTTAATACGGAGTCGTGACAAGAGTCATTCATGCAATATCTCAGGGAAGGTTAACCTGGACTAACCAGACAGTGCCTGTGAATTTACATTTAATCATCTCCAACTCTTGTGATGTTGTTTGTTATGAGTCAAACTAACCATCATTTGGTTATTCATCATGGAATTTACATTGGACTCTCGCCCAGATGGAGGCCACTGAGTAAGAGAGTTTACCAGCATTTTCAGCTCAGTCTAGCCAATCCTCTTTGGAAGAGGATTAACTTTTCTGGTTTCCTGATTTAGAAAAGTCTTTAGATGAAAATGATGCATAAGAATAATCAGAGTATGTGCGGGACAAATTTGGAAAAGATAATAAGCATTTATTTCCTCCCAGATCCCTAGATCTTTTTTTTAACTCTTTTTTCTCCACTAATGCAGTCAGGGATGTGGGAGGGAGAAGGAAGGTCTCTACCTTTTACATGGAAAACTGAAGGTCTTTCTTCAAATGACAAGAGACATTGCCAAAGAAAAATCTTTATACATTCTTGTAAATATTTTGCCCCCCTTCCTTCCTTTTTTCCCCAGCAGATACACCACATTATGGCTGTAAAAGATGGTATGAGACTAAAGAAAAGGCAGAGAGAGCCTATCCTAACCAAAGCCTATCCTAACCAGGTGATGTTCCAGCACCTGCCTCCCTCCATCTCTTGCTTTAGCAGACCAATGGACTCCAGGGCCAGGATCATTATTCAAGGCAGGTTCCCATGGAGTATGGCAGAGAGGTGGTAGGGAAACTGCAGAGACTCTGCACTGCAGGACATGTTGTTCCATCATATAGGTGCCACTAACTGGGCATCTGTTGATGCACAACACAGCAGAGCATGAAGTGCCAGTCGTCACCAGCCATGGACAGAGAACCTGCAGTCACTGAGGGAAATACTGACAGTCACTGCACATCAGACTCCAGGAGTCTTTCTAACTTTGAAAAAAAGAAGGTATAGGAATGAGGCCCACAGCCACGAGATATGCCATGAGATACGTGGTGAAGGGATTTCCATTATAGCCTTGAGGTATGTTGTGAAAGGATTTCCATGAGATATGCAATGAGATATGTGGCTAAGGGATTACCATGGGCATGATGGCATGCTGAGTGGGTGATTATCAGGCAGACACTGGATGACCCTTTTACCTTCAGTCAAGCAGGTAGAAGAGGAAGTGATGCTAAGGTGTCATGACTCTGTTCTGCTCTTGTGCAAGACCCACAGTCATTGTAATCTCTCTCTTTTTTACTCTCAATATCCCTCATTTACATATAAAGTGGCTGCTCCCTCTCCCCCATTTATGAAGGCAGTAACAGAACATTTGACCACAGTCTCACCTCCACTTCTCCCAAAATTATAAATTGGCTTAAATTGGTTAAATTGAATTTGAAATCCTCATTGGCAGAGGATGAGAATATGACCATATTGCAAAAAGTCAGCGGACTTGCTTCTCTCTCTTCCCCAAAATAGGGAAGATTTCTTTGGTAAGATTTGCACCTCTGACTGCATTAGAGTATCCCCAGGAGCACTCACACATAACACTGTACACTCATGTTTTGCAGATCTAGTGAATTTATCGGGGAAATATGAAAGAATCCATAACCTCTTGCTCCAATAAACTGCACTATTAGTTAATCTGTGTTCATGAAGTTCTTATTGAACTTGACCAGACTTACAATGATGAATCGGTAATCCTCACTATTGGTGAATCTCTGTTCGTAAAGGAGATGAGGATTGTAGTGTACCCTACATTATTGTTGCATCTGGGAACATGACCAGACTTAAGAGTGATAAATTGGCTAAAATCAGAAATCAAGTCCAGCCTCCACCAGCCCCTCTGCTCTCTGAGGATCAGCTGGGAAGAGCAAGGGCATGTGTTGTCTGCTGAATTACTGCAGTCTTAATGCAACAGAAGGAAAAGTAAATTAGATTCAACCTTTAAAGATTTGATAAACCAAAATAAACTCTGTCCCAGCACTAGAGCAGGACAGAGGCAAGGTGTAACTGCAGTCTAGATTGACAACACAAACTTCCTACATGAACTCATAAGCAGCCACTGCACTCAGGCCCTTAATTTCAGGTGCTTACCCAAGTTCCTCAATTCATTGTCACCAACCTGGGCTGCGCTGACATTCAAGAGAGAGTGGGAGAGGAGAGAGAGAGAGAGAGAGAGAGAAAGAGAGAGAGAGAGGGAGGGAGGGAAGGAGAGGGAGCCCCTCTGGAGGTGCTGCTGGGCTCTGGAGATGGAAGGAGCTCTGACTCACTACACACCAGAGACTCACACTGCTGATTTAGGTGCAATGAATACGGGCCTTAAAAATCTTCATAAATATGTTTCTAGGTTTCTTAAGAAGTCAAAGAAGACCTTTGGAGCACTTACAATGCTCAGATTTTGAACTCTCACGTATTACAGTATTTTTAGGAACCTAAGTGTTGTTGCAGAGCCAGCTTAGCTCCTACCATCTTTGTGCTCCATTTCTTTGTATATTCTTCTCTTTCCGAATATCTTTGTAATGTATTATCTATTTTAACTGTTGCATTCTCGTGTTGTACCTGACTATTTGCATGTGTAACACTTTGGAGCTGTTTAAGTACTAGAACAAATAAAAAGACTTAAATAGGAGAAACAAGCAACATCTTTGCCATGAGAAGCTTGTTTAAAAGTACAGCTGGAGTATGCATGTGAACTGTTCTTTTCTCTGTGATCTACACTTGGCTTCATAAGAAGTTCAAAAAGCAGTAATCTACTGATCCTAATGGGCATGTGCAAAAACCCTTAATGTTTTAGAGTGTTCTTCAAATATTCAGCAACAGTACAACTAGGTGTTTCTGAGGAAAGTTTTTCTGTAGAGGTTTCACATGTATTTTAAGAGGTAACAGGAGGAAAGTGTAGAGAAAAATGAACACCTCAGAAGTTACAGCAATTAGAAAAGACATTATTATACACGTTCTGTAGCACTGCAGTACAAGTAAGTATTAGACCAAATAAATGCTTTCCCTTCCTTTCACAATGCACTGCAGCTTCTAATTATAATAGTAAAACTGAACAGTTGAAAAGCAGAAAAGCAGAAAATGTTCTTAAAGTCTTCCACAACAGTTCAGTAAGAGATGTAAAAGCAAATTTAAAATGAAACTAACATACCATTTTCTGTGTGTTTCCAGATCTGTCAGATTTTTTGTTTGAAGAGCCTGTAAATCAGAGCAGAAGAAAACAGCATAAAAGTGGTCCCCACTGGTTCAGATGAAGTCCAGAGGAGAGTATAATATGACATAACTTACTCAAGACAACAGCAGTAATCACTGCTCTATTACTACTCTTCACCTCGACTGCAACTTGAGAAATAATTGAATGTGAAACAACTGTTGCAACCCACTTCCTCAAATATTTGTACTTAAAACAACAGTACCTCATTTTCTGCTCCACCCCTAAGAAATAATGGAGTACTCTTATTTCCCCCTTTTAAACAAATTTTCACATTACTCATACATCCACGTGCTTTTATTCTGCAATTTACATGCTGCAATTTACATGCTGCAATTTACTGTCTTCTTCGTTACTTTTGAACAGTTTTCATTTCAAACTGTGTTTTGCCTTGCTACAGTGTCACACCATAAAGAACTATAAGACCTACTCAGAGAAGATAAACATCCAAGCCACAGGGAACTCTGAAGGGGGACAGTTGTGAAGTATTTGGCAGTTTGGAAGTTTAAAATCAATCAGCTGGGAGACAAATGCGCTACATAAGGGTAACCAGTCACTTCAGACAATTAACATTTGCAGGAGATCAAGTTCCTCGTTTCACCCATCCCCCTTTTTTAGTATAAATTGCAAGAATAGAGATACAGACATTGTTAATTGATGTTAAAAATAGTTTAGATCTAGAAGTTTAGTAATTTTTATAACTATTATTATTTTTTTGGCATTCATTCCTGATGCAAATAGCTTCAAGAACTGGGACAGTTCTAAGCTGCATACTTTATGGAAGAAATGTCAAGAGAATGGGACTTTGGGGAAGGGAATCAAAATAAAGCATGATAAAAAAGATAGTGGTAAGGGCATAGGAAACAGCATACAGAAAGGTGAAAATTGCATAGGAGAGTGTAGAAGGGTCAGAGTTAAAAATTACGAGGATAGACTTAAGCTGGTGACAATCCAGCATTACACAGAACATGGTGTCTGTCTGAGAGTTTCTTACCTAGAAGATTCTGTGCTTAGCAGAACAGACTAGTTCAATGATTAGGATATTTATTAGGTGGAGTTTGTGGGGTTTTTCATGTCTTCTTTCCCTACACATTTTTATTTACATTTTAAATAACAATTCATAATTTCTTTGACCATGATGGAGCTGAGAAACTCATTTCAGATGCTGGGAACCTGAAGAACGAACAGGGAAAGAATTTGCAGTCATATTTGCAAATTCCCTGTGTTTAGAGTACGAGTCATTTAGACACGAACAGAAAAACAAGAAAGTTGTACAGCATCATTGCCATTTTAATCAGGGCCTAGGAAAAGGGTTCATTAATTCCCAACTATATTAATTCAGGACTATATTTCTCACCCTTGTGGCTGAAGAGTAAAATACTACAACAAAGTATGATTCCTCTGCTCTTTGTTGATAACTGGATTTTGCTTTTCACGCAAGATGCACTGAGGTTTTCACTGAGTGCTACTGTAACTAATGCAGAAATTTCACTAAAATCCTACTATGTGCTGCAAGGACATTCAACACATTTCTAGTAGGATGAAAACCTGCACTACAAACACCATACACCAGTTATTCCACTCTGGATTTTTCACACTCTATGTGACCACAAAGGAAAGTTACCTTCCACTCATTTATAATTTTTCACCTCATAGCAAAGCTAATATGCTTAATTAATCATGAAAGAAGAGAATGAGTCGGCACAAGTTTGACTGCGTATGTTGATTTCTTCAAGCACCCAGCCATTTCTTGGTACATGGCACTGGAGCATGAGACACTTAATGTCCATTTGCTTTGGTTGCAAGTAGGTTTTCTAAATCACAGTGTCCAGTCACACAACCCTGTAATCTTTGACAGGTGCTCAGTGTCTTTGGAGATCTCCCTTGCAGCCTAAACTTACAAACTGTGGAAATTTTAATAGCTGTACTGACACTTAGCATTTCCTTTTGGAATAAGGTTGACTTTTTTATATTAAAAATTTGCTGTCACCCATCTCAGAGCTCAAGTTTCAATTCTGTTCAAAGCGAAACTGCAGCTTTAGCTGAACACCAATAGAAATGCCGAGTACTCTTTTTTGCCGTCTTTTTTTCTTTTTCTTTTTTTTTTTTTAACCTAAGAAATGCGGGTAAAAAAATACATTTTCCTTCAAAAGGTAGGAGTAAATGCACAGCAGCGTAGAAGTCCAGAATTTCTGAACTATAATTTGGTTTTTAAAGGCACAAGGAGTCACTGATTTACTGATTTCAAAAGTTCAGTTTCCATCAGATGCTGCACAAAATGTCTTTTGTTCTGTTGTGAAACACAAGGAAACTGAAAAGCAGCTACTGCATCATGTGTTAGGGGAAGATTCACTGGTAACAGTAAATGTATATTGCTACCTCTGTGAAAGAAGAATATAATTTAAAATAAAGCAGGAGTCCTTAATTGTCTAAATCCTTCATGTAGAGGTTTGATTGTCAGTTGGCTTATAATCAGATCAGTAAACTCACATTTCCTTTCTTTTTGTTCCTAATGTCTTGCAGCAAAATCTTTTCTCTATAGTACCAACCCTCATATTAAGAATGATGATACAACCCCACATATTCATGGTTAATACAACATTCAGTGTGAGATTGCATAATTTACCCAGGAAATTATTCAAGGAAACCAGTTAGGGCACGCACTTTTGAAATAAATAAGCTGACTCTTCAAAGTGATGTAGACAGATGTATGAAAAGAACCACAAAGAGAAATGGATAGGAAAATTGAGGAAATTAAAACAAAATCACTTGCAGAAGCCTTAAAGCTTCTGTATGTATTATCTGTGTATGTAATGCAGGATCCTTGCTGACAGTAGGTGCAGAAATGTCTTTGCAAATACTAAAAAAAACCAAAACAATAAGGAGAAGACAGCAGTGGAGGAGATTGGCCAACAACAAGGGCAGAGGAGCACTCAGAGCTCTGGTGAGGGAGGAGACCCAAACCACCCAGGGCACTGAGGTACCGCTGAGGGAGCCTCCTGTACCACAGAAATAGACTTGGTCATTTCTGAAAGCTGAGGCTGCCCCAGGCTACATCCGTGCCAAGACTGACTGATTGGTGTTTACAACAGATTAAAACTGTGTGCTGGAAGCAAAGGTGCCTGCCACTTTTACTGAAAGTGAGTTACCTTCAAGGGAGGCAGAA